TGGGATTTTTATGAAAGTAAGAGAATGTGGGGCCAGCAGATGGCATAGCAGTTGTGTCACTGGATTCCCACATGGCAGACTGCTGTTTAAGACCTGGGCCTGGTGCTTAAGTCCAGGGGTGTGTGTGTGTGTGTGTGTGCATGTCCACAATCCTGGGAATGAATGAGAAGGGATTGCAGCATGGCCATCCTTCCTGGGGGGTGATTTCTCACTTTCCCTCTCACTATGTCTATCTTTTTTCTGCAAGAACGTGTGCATTAAGCAAATACCTCTTAAAAAACGAAAGAAGAATAAGAGAAGCTATACAGCAGTGAAGCACCCCAACAAGATTCTAAAGATTGCTTTGGATTAGTTTGTTTAGTTTCTAACGTTTCTGGTGGCCATCAGTTCTTAATCACTCCTAAGAATTTCACAGAAAATGTAAGAAGGAAAACAACAATATTCATAGTAACAGCATCATGGGAACTGGCAGACAGAAAAATTAAAAAAAAAAAAAAGGAAGTGCTGGAAGTCTGATAGCAAGTCTTACGGCCTCATAGTTAGATCTGGAAACTGGAGGAAATATTCAGCATGGCAGGGAAGAGGACAGACACCAGAGATCAATTCTAACGCATTTCCTCAGCTTCCTTTCCCAGTCAAATATCAAGAATGCACAGAAATAGATGGATATTCCTACCACTAGTGGATCGCTTTACATCCCGATCTTCAAAGTGAATCATTCCCCACCTTCCTGCCAGCTAGGCCTCTCCAGCTCTACATGGAAATTCGGGATAAAGATGCTTGTCTGTCCTCTAAGGTTAGCTCAAGTCAATAGAGGAGATAGGAATTCAAAGCATACAGTCCTCAAGGTCACAAGCTTTTCCATAACTGTGTGCAAATTTAGAGGTCCACTGGCAGACAGAAAAATTAAAAAAAAAAAAAGGAAGTGCTGGAAGTCTGATAGCAAGTCTTACGGCCTCATAGTTAGATCTGGAAACTGGAGGAAATATTCAGCATGGCAGGGAAGAGGACAGACACCAGAGATCAATTCTAACGCATTTCCTCAGCTTCCTTTCCCAGTCAAATATCAAGAATGCACAGAAATAGATGGATATTCCTACCACTAGTGGATCGCTTTACATCCCGATCTTCAAAGTGAATCATTCCCCACCTTCCTGCCAGCTAGGCCTCTCCAGCTCTACATGGAAATTCGGGATAAAGATGCTTGTCTGTCCTCTAAGGTTAGCTCAAGTCAATAGAGGAGATAGGAATTCAAAGCATACAGTCCTCAAGGTCACAAGCTTTTCCATAACTGTGTGCAAATTTAGAGGTCCAGAGTTTATTCCCCAAAAAGTCTTGATGCTTTCTCTGGCCATTTTCTCACATGCCTTTACACCCTGTAATCAGGGAGTGAAAATTCATTTTAATTCTAGTTAAGACCCACCCCTCCTGGGTGAGAAATGCTACACAGATAAAAAGCAAGGGAAAAAAAAGGACAAAAGTTGCACTCAAAGCACAAGAGATAACCAAGTGGAGAATGCTAGAACCTCCCAGTTACTCAGGCCTCCCTTGTATTAATTGTAGCAGATGGCAACCCGACTATATTTTTATTTCCATATGGGCTCAGAAGAAGGACCACTAGGAACTCGGTGGGTGTGTGACTGACATGCTTTGAGGCTTGCACACCCTCCCCCATGCCTCATCAATCCAGGACTGATGTAATACTGCACAGACTTGATTCCCCTTCCCTTTGATATGAAACCTGTGACTACAGAGTCAACTCTCAGTGCTAAAGAAAACAGTCAGCCCTTGCAGAATTGGGTTTGCCTCCTGCCACGGCTGCTGTTAATCTGCAACATGATGTTGCTGCTGCTGGGAGTGGGTGTCCTGGGGAGTGACTGGCAGGGGTTCTTTCTTCTTTGGGTTTGATACATCCTTCCTTCCGCTGTTCCTTGTAATCAATTGCTAGGGGAAGGAGGGAAGCAGGCAGGAGGGAAAGCAGGAGACTTCCGGAAACCTCTGTCCTCCTTTCACAGGTTGCACCATAATGACCCTGGAGACTTCCACCTGCCCCCAGTGAAAGAATTGGTTACTCTCCTGGAGCCCTCCTGGCATCACCCCCTTGCTCACTTCCTCCTCTTCCTGCCCTCAACCTCCACCCCTTCTGCCCCCTGTGGCTTCCCAGCCAAGTTCTTCCAATCAGGAAGAATGAGATGGAGCTGGGTAATGGTGAGCATGCAACCATCCCCACCCCCAACCTCCCAAACACTACAGTTATTTTCCCAGCATCATTTGTGAATCTGAAAGTATGAGGGAGGTTCCAAAGACAGCATGTAGCGTATCCGTCTTTCTGTTAATAAATAACATTCAAGCATGTTAGAAGGAAACTGTTCATTTATATTTTAAATCTGATTTAGAATTCATTCATTGTGAACATACAATCTATCTTCTTTTGGGTTTAAAAGGCAATGTAAACCCCAAGCCTGGGACTCCTGTAATTTTTATATAGCAGAAAGGATGGCCTAGCCACTCACCCATCCTCCCATCCACCTACTCACCCAAGCCACTCTTATTTATAGTGACACAGTGATTTATTTTGCCAACATGAAGCTATGCAGTTCATTTCCCCTTCAACACCCTCTGCAAACTGAAAGCAAAGGCTGGATCATTCTGATTCTCAGTAGACATTGACATCCCTACTCTGAAGCCAATGGCTGGGTGAGGTCTCAAGCAAAAGCTGCTTACAAAAAAAAAAATGTTTGTTTGTTTTCCTTTTTGATTCTTTCATTGGAAGAATTTTTATGGCTGGGAGACAGGTGCACATTCATGAAGGTTGGGATCATATATTAGAGTATTTATGGGGCTTGTGATTTTCATGGGATCAGCCTCCTCATTGCCAATTAATTTTACTCGGCTACAGGGTCACAGATCTTACCCCTAATACTAGCCAGTTGTCTCAGCAATGTGTGTCCTAAGGAGCCTGGGGCAAGAAGGTAGAGCCAGCCCAGCATAACTATGACTTCCATTGGAGAAAAACAACTCAAAGGGCACTTCCTATAAAGAGCAGAACACGATTAGAGGCAGGCATAATTGCAGTCGCTAAATTAGCGTGGGTCTCTCAGCCAGGGGCTAATCTAAGCCAGACCTCACGTCATGTCAGGCCATGAGTGCATCACAATTACAATGAAAAAGAAAACAGAAAAAAAAAAAATCACCCTTGATTCCCAAATGTTTATTTTTAATATGGCAGGTACTGAGTAGTCATATCAGATACCGAGGCATCTGGAATAAGCAAGAAAAGTAATTTGGGTTCCTAATCTTTCATAGGCTAAAGGATTTTCACCGTAACTACAAGGAGGAGCCTTCTGCATGCTCCTGTTACTCTTCCCGACACCAGTTACAGCTATCCCTCCTTTGCTGCTACATTTGGTGCCTCCCAAGGTCTTTATTCACGCCCACTGCGTCTAAGGCTGTCTGGACCTTCCTGCCGACTGCCCCTCCTTGACAGATCTATCTGCCCGATTCTCTCTAGCAGCCCATGGCACTTGGACCCTCCAATTCCATCTCCTCTTTGGACTTTTTAAAATGTATATCGGTCCTTGACACTGACCCTTTAACACTCGCTTCCGCATGAAGGCAGAAATCAAGCATGGAAGCCAAAACAAATGTGTTTTCCCAGTGGGAGCTGGGTTATGAGCGATTATTGTTTTCTCCATAATGAACCTATATTAATTTTGCACTCAAAAATTATGTATGTGTGTTTTCAATTCACTTTCAAAATCCAGTACACCAACACGCCAAACTTTGCTTCTTGTGACTCTTGAATTCTTCTCATTTCCCATTGCCCTGAATTTTCACTCATACATTTTTGTCTTTGAATTTGCCCACTGAGGGATTTTTTTTTCTAGTTGTATTTATTTAAATTAAAAGTGAAAGAGAGAGAGAGAGAGAGACCATCTTCTGACAGGGTTCCCACACAGTGACCCACCCCTGCCCCAACCAGCTCAGATTACAGGCATCACACAAGCCTAGTGTATGCAGGGAGGTATTAAGACTTGAATCAAGGACCTTCCCAGGTGGGTCCAGTTGTTGTCACCACTACACCACCATCTGGTCTGCCATTTGCATTTTTAAAAACAATGTGGACAGACCCATCATGTTTCTTCGGGTCAATGCATATTACAATATTGCCAAGAATTAATTTCTGGGGGTGGATGGGAGGCCTATTATTCACAGTTTTCTTTTTATCTGGGGGCCACTGCCTTGATAAAACTTAGGCCTTTTCCTGGCTAGCACATAGTGACCCTCTGGCCGTACCACAGTGGATTTTGTAAAACTTGGCCAAATGTTAGGCTTTACTGGAATTTGACTTTTTAAATTTTCAGCATAAGTAGACTATCAGCAGGACCACAGACAACTTTTGATCATACAGAGAAACTCATTGTAATAGGAGTTTTTGTGTGTTAATATGATTTAATAAAGACATTTGGCTCATAAATACAACTCTTCTTGACCAAGCATTCCTAACAATGAGAGGATTGAGATCAGTTTATAGAGCATATTAGTAAAAGTGTCTTTTCTAGCTTTAGTAAAACTCTTCCATCTGTTTAGAGATAAATTTATTGTTCTAACCCAAAAACTCTCCTGAAATAGATGCGGTGAAAAGTGTTCTGCCCCTGTTATGAGTCTTTCTAAACAAGTTTAAACTTGCTCAGAAACAAAAGACAGGAGGGAAAAGAAAAGGCAATGTTTCCAGATAACAAAGTTCTGCCTTTATGTTTTATCTGTAAAACAGTATGGTTTGAAAGGTCTGGATCCCATTTCCTTTGAACTGAACATAAATGTAGTGCCTGGAATCCTCCCAAATGAATAAATTTTTTGCCGATAATTTTTAAATGAGGAAAGATCAACAGAATCAGAGCACAAATACAGATTATAGGCTGTGGTGTGTGGTTGGGGA